GGTTCTTAGCTCATTTCCCCCAAATTCCGCTTAAATTTTGCTTCCCTTTTGGATTGTAGTCATTTTTCCGTCGTTCACATGCTAGTTCCATATGATTTTTTTCCTTGCATGTTCATGTTTCTGTTTTCATTTCTGATTTGAATTGTTTTATTTCTGCCTATTATTTGTTGGAATGCTGTGAAAGGGCAGAAGAGGTCACAAAATTGAAATCTTCGTCCGCTGTTTCTTTTCCTTTTCTCCTTAATTTAGTGTAATGCACTTGTGGCTTCCCATTATGTGCATATCTCGGTTTTTGTGATTTTGTAGATGACATTGTTTTAATGGTGCTTAGTTCTTAATAGAATTTTTTTGTAATGAAAAGAGACTCTTATGCATTTATTTTCTATAAAATTGTGAATTTAATGCCAACACAACAAGTACTGATTTTAATTGACATGACTTTAGTGCATTTTAAAGAGCTTGCCTGAAAAGGATTTTTTACCTCATGCATGTTAAATTCGGTTAGTTTGTTGATTCTTGTGTAATTTTCTTTAAGTGAAAAGGTGAGATCTTTCAAATGGGCCTGCGTGGAACAAAATAGAAAATCTGAATTACATAGAATTCTAGTTTCATAGGCTGGTGGTGTGCAAACTTTTATGAACCATGTGTTCCCTTTTTGTCCTCGAAATAAGGCCAATATTGAGCCTAATACCAAGTAATTTTGATCTCTTTCTGGTATTGAATGAATCTTCAAGTTTCCATTTTTCTATTGCAGTTTACTGAAATAAATCTTTAATGCCAAACACTTTGTGATGGCTAAATGCTTGTGCTATAGACTGAAAATTAGTGATAATATGTTTCTTACATTTGCACAGTCAGTGTGTCCTTCATTGGATCAAGTCTCATGGGAAGTTCAATGGAGTACAGTTCTGGAGACGACACTGACAAGAGTGACTCTGAAATTGAGTATGAGGAGAAAATATGTGAAGAACTGAGGAATGGGGATCACCAGTATAAAGTATCTGATGATGCTTACACTTGCCCCTTCTGTCCTAATAAAAAGAAGCGAGATTTCCTGTATAAAGAACTCCTGCAGCATGCAGCTGGTGTTGGCAAGTGCAATTCAAAGAAGCGAACCAGGAAAGACAAGGCGAATCATCTTGCACTTGCAAAATACTTGGAAAATAATGTAGCTGCTGATGCTGGTCCTTCACAGCAAGCTACTATAGTTGATCCACTTGCAGATCATGATCGTGACGAGATGTTTGTCTGGCCTTGGATAGGAATTGTTGTTAACATTCCTACTGTATTTAAGGATGGTCGCAGCGTGGGAGAGAGTGGTAGTAAACTAAGGGATCAGTTGGCCAGGAGAGGATTTAATCCTACCAGAGTTCGACCTCTCTGGAATTACCAGGGGCATTCAGGAACTGCTCTTGTAGAGTTTCAAAAGGATTGGTTTGGGTTCAACAATGCTATGTCCTTTGAGAAGGCTTATGAGGCCGATCAACATGGAAAGAGAAGTTGGCAGGCAAAAACTGACTTTAAATCTGAGCTTTATGGGTGGGTTGCTCGAGCAGATGACTACAATTCTGATACCATTTTGGGAGAAAATTTACGTAAGATTGGAGACCTCAGAACTATTTCTGATATCATGGAAGAAGAAACTCGGAAGACACAGAAGCTTGTTGGAAATCTAACAAATGTCATTGAGGCAAAGAAGATGCACCTGCTAGAGATGGAGAATAAGTTCAAGGAGACTGAGAACTCGCTTAGCCAGTTAATGACGGAGAAGGATAAGCTTCTTCAAGAGTATAACGATGGTGTGTTTTGTCTTCACTATGGCATCGAGCTAAATATGTCCTATTTTTTTATAAAAAAATCCTGACATGCTTGTTTGTATTGATCAGAGATAAAAAAGATTCAGTCAAGTGCTCAAGATCATTTCCAAAGGATATTCAATGATCATGAAAAGCTGAAGTTGCAACTGGAAAATCAGAAAAGAGAGCTTGAGCTCCGGGGTCATGAACTGGCAAAACGTGAGACTCATAATGAAAATGAGAGGAAAAAGCTTGCTGAGGAGCTTGAAGAGGTGTTGCATTTCTTTCTTGCATATCTCTCTTGTTTGTGTATTACCCACATTGTGTGTCAGTGATTTTGAAGGGAGCAAGCAATTATATTCAGAGCTTACCCTGTTCCCCCCCCCCCCCCCCCCCCCCCCCCCCCCCC